CCCCGGGGCTCTCTCAGCTCCTGCTCAATTCTGTTTCTATTCTGACTCATTTTCTATGGGGGACAGTCAGGGGCGGGGGGCTGGGTTAGGAGGGGGCGCTGAGGTGGGAGCTTTTGGACCCAGCAGGCCCTGCTCTATTATGTATGTATTTTTCAAGGTCTGTTTTTTAACTGAAAAGCTAAGGGCTTGATTCCTAGCCCCGTTCTGTGGGGCCTCGGGTGAGTTCAGGTCCTTGTAACCTGGCTGCCAAGAGGGGCTTGGGGCACTGGTTCCAACTCTGTGGTTCGTTCCGGCCCGCGGGGAGGGGGCAGGAAAGGCTGCTGTGCAGGTGGGCGCCCTGAATGGAGGACGGAGCTGGAACGAAGGCGAGGCCCCGGCCATCCTGTGATCGGTCCTCTGGCACTGGCCCTGCCTCCAGACAACCAGGTTTTGTTTTGCGCTCTCCTGTCACAAATGCTGCACTATTCGTTCTTAATTTTGTATCTCCAGATTCTAATTTATGCCTATGCAAAAAATAAATTATGCCCAGGATTAGTGGAGTGTGTGGTTTTTATCTGGCCATTGCACGGGAGCCTGCTCTTGGGAAAAAGAGAATGAATTCTTAGCCAAAACAGTGCCCCAAAGGCTTCCTCCTAAGCTTTAGAAACCCAGGCTTCTCGGCTAAAACTCAGCTGTGATGGGAGATGGGACCTGAGGCAGGCCCTGTGCCTGTGACTCCGGGCTCAAGGGCTGGCAGGACAAAGTGAGTGGCTTTATTAGCCATCACTGATGTCCCAGTCCCACTCTGAAGCAGGAGGCTTGTCCTGCGTCTCTCAGTGCCACTGCAGCAGAGGGTAGAAATTACCCACTTTACTACTGAGCTCGTCCGCCGTCAGTGCCGCAGTCCCCCTCCGTGGGAATTAAACCCTTGTCCCTTGTACCTGTGTTGGGATGGCACGAGGTTGGTCCCCTGAAGAGCCAGAATCTTGCCAGTTCCAGGGAGCAGGTCCTCGCCCTTCCCTGCAAATATCTCCCCAGATTCAGTGCCTCCAATGAGCAGCTCCAAGGGCCAGGGGTGGTTTGCCCAGCTGGACTCTCAACACACGCCTCTCATCCTGACCATGGCACCTGGCCCAGGGAGGGGCCCAATCACAGCTGAGAAAATAAAGGCAGGAACAGGTCAGTAGGCAGGAGTTGGGGGATAAACTGCTGCAGGAGATGGTGCTGGGTGGAAGGCAAAGCCAGGCCCAAGGCTTCGGGCCAGTTACTCCAGCCCTCAGCTCGCTCTCTGCATGAGGAAAAAGCTAGTACTATGGCTCGCCCCTCAGCGACTGCTCGCTTCATCACCTCCTGTCTCATTCACACTTGCACTGCATTTAGCACCCTTTTTCAACAAAGGTCGTGACATCCCTGAGCGGCATTAGTAAACGCATCCCTGGAACCTACCACACACCGTCAGGGCTCAGGGCCTCTGTTTGTGCCCTCTGGGGCCTGTCTGCACACGTCCGTATCTTAAGAGGCCCTCGTGGCACAACCCTCACACCGTCTTTTCCATGGTCCGTCCCGTGACCCCAATCAAACCTGCGCTTCCCCTGCACCGTGGCACATTCCTGTGGCCTTATTCTGTGCTGGGGAGGCCAATAAGCCAGAACAGTGGGCCTGGCTGAATTAAAGATGCCACACGTGTTAGCTGCGTTACAAAAGGGTCAGGATTTGCCATTTGAGGTGACTGGATTAACAACTTTATTCTTCATCAACAACAAAAGGGCTGGTGTTTTGTTCCAAATAGATAGTTGGTAGGGCTGAGACCCATATGGGACCTTTGTAGTCCCAGCTAAAGACAATAATATGCTGCAGTCAGCCCCCTGGCTAGCAGGTGTGGGCCTGGTGACCACAGAGATCAGAATGACCTGAGTGTTGGAAGGCAGAGGCCACAGCTGCAAAATGTAAAGGAAGTGGTTATGCTCAGAGCGGCAGGAGAGTTCCAACAAAACATGGTTCTGCCTGTTCCAAGGTCCCCCATGGCCAAGTCCTGTGGAAACACAAATTCCACAGCACCCACCGTGGGGACAGAGAGCCCAGGGTGCTGCTCAAGGCTGGAACTCCTATTACAAAGGCACCTCTGGGCAACGGCCCCTGTAAGCAGAACCAGAGTCAAAATTCAAGAGGGGAACAGCCAGCAGACAATGGAACTAGGACAGGCTGAAGGACACGCTGGAGTGGGTGACTGGAATGACTGGGGGCTGGGGGCACTGTTCCCCTGAGCTCCAGTGTCCTTAACCAGAAAAACGTAACTACCGCCACCTCCCTCATAGCCGCGAACATCAAAGAACATGAAGCGAGGGAAATGCCTGGCGCAGTCCCAGCTAAACAGCAGAGACGTGTCCACGCCACATTTCTCCTTTTGAGCCTGTTGCCCAGCTTGCGGCCTCTGCCATGGACGTGGGAGCCGGCGTGGGTGGTAAGCAGCGTGATGACCATTAATCGCCGGGTACCGCCCACGTGCTGGGCACATCAGGGCCTCACACACATTCTCTCGCTGAATCCTTGCAACAACCTGACGTAGGCATTTACCTCTTGCTGTGGATGAGGAAACTGAGGTTCAGAGGATGGCAACTTGTCCTGTGTCACAGCTGGCGGAGGAGTCTGGGTTTTGAAGCCATGCCTGCCTGACAGGAGAAGCTGGGCCCCTCCCGGCCCGGCCCACAGCCGGGGGCTCTAGGGCAGGCAGAGCAATGGAGTTCCCCATGGCCGCACCTCCACCTGGAGGGGCTGGGCAGGGAACAGGACACCATCAACTTGGAACAAACTTTTATTTTGTGTTGCTGGTTTGGTCGGTCCATGGCCACAGGTCAGTGGTAACTAGAAACAGTCAGGAAGGGAAGAGAGGGGAGCAGCAGTCCGGAGGCAGGAGTGGCGGCGAAGGGTTGGGGATGGAAGGGAGGTGAGGCTGAGGAAGGACCCAGCCAGTTGGGTGTCCCAGGCTAGAGAAAGAACATATCTCTGCCCATCAGTCCACCCTAAAGAGAGGGCTTCAGTCCACAGCTCCGAGCAGGCTGGTTCGGGGCCCATGCTACCATCTCTGGCCTGGGCAACACCACCCCCACCCCTGGCAACGATTCTTCCAAAGGGCTTAATGCTCTGAGCTGGCTCTGGAAGAATCTTTTTTACTACCTCCTTCCTGCTCTCCCCGTACCCCAGTTGGAGCGTCCAAATCTGGGGCTCAGGCCCTTCACTGCTGGGCTCCTGTAGCAGCCATGCTGGGGCGATGTGGCAGGGAAGGAGGGGTTCCAGTCCCGGCCTGGCTCAGAGGAACACCTGGCACCCCCGCCAACAGGAGGTGCTGTTGACTGTGACCCTGAGCAGGCGGACCCCAGGCCCGATCATCAGTGCCCTGAGGCCCAACAAGAATCAGAGTCAAAGTCCAAGCAGGAGGCGGCCCCAGGGCGAGGTGAGAGCCCCAGCTCGGCAGACTCAGCAGAAGAGGAGTCACCCCAGCCAGCCAGGCAAACACAGGATTGTCTCCAAGGGGAAAGAAGAGCCACAGCTGTCTTCAGGTCAGTGGCAAGGTCAGAGGGGCAAGGAGGGTCCTACAACTCAGTCACCAACACCCTCCACACGTCTACAGTTACAGCCTAAGAGCTTTTGGCATTACCTGTTTGGGGGTTTAAGGGAAACAAGAGGGAGAAAGAGAAAAGGGGAACCACCGCTCTCCACTCTGCTGAGATCCCCAAGTCACAGAAGGACGGCCCCTGCTCTGGCAGCAGCAACTTCCCCTGGACGCCCCTCAGCCTGGAGGCGGCTCTGTGGCGAGGCTCCAGGCGCACTGGAGAGTGAGCACAGGGAAGGAGGGCGCGCTTCGGCTCCTGACAGCCCTGAAAGGTTCTCACAGAGACACACGAACGCACGGACAGACAGGCAGCCAGCTAGCTCCCGGAGGCTGGGGGCCAGCCACAGAGGAGAAAGGGGAAAGACTGCCAGGCCCTGACCGGCCGCACTCCTGCACCTCACACGCCCACACACACGCACACGCACACGCACACTAGATAGATAATAAAAAGAATAAAAACTAAGGGCCCAGATGTACAAAAAAGGTGTGAGTGAGGAAGAAGGCGGGGAAGAGAGCTGGAGACGGTGAGTCCTCCGGAAGTCTGGCCACCTTCCTCAGCTTATAAATTACACGGCCCCCTGCAAAACGGGGGTGGGGGGTATGGCGAGGCTCCGGGTGCGGCCTGGGGAAGGGCGAGCGGTGGTCAGAGTTGCTCTGGCCCATCTGGTGGAGTGGTGGCCAGAGAACGAGGATCCCTTGGGTGGTGGAGGTGGGCTGGGGGAGATTCAGCAGCCGCTGGCGGGAGTCAGGCAGGCCCCCTGGGACTTCACCTTGTGACGCTGGCCCCCCCGTCGCCGGCCCCCGCTGCCGGGCTTGGGCTGAAAGAGAGAAGAAGCAGCTTGAGAAGCAGTGGCCCCTCGGGAGCAGCGCAGGGCAGCAGAGGGGCAGCGGGGAGCGGGGGCAGGAGGTGAGCGAGCAGCCATCTGCTACGCCCTCCAGCAGATGGAGCCGGCGCCCACCCTGCCTTCCTCGCGGCTGGTGGGTCACAGGTGATCACGGTGTGAGAGGAGCCGTTCAGAGAAGCACAGAGAGAGCCGGAACTAACCTGTGCCACTGCTGACAGGTGGGAAGAAAAAAGAAATGAAGGAGTCAGAGGAAAGACTCGACGGGGAGGGAGAGCAAAAAGGACAGGTCCAGGCAGAAGCTTCCTTCTCCGAAGAGGAGTCGGACGAAGAGACGCTGGAAAGGGGCGATGTGAGGGCCAGCAGGAGAGGACTCCAGGGGACAACGCTGGCAGGAGGTGCCGAGTAAGAGCCACACTGACAGGGCCCAAGACCACCTACCCCTCAGGAAGTGTCACGTTGGGGAAGGGGCCAGGAGGACCCTCTAACGTAGAGTCTTTCAGACGTTTGGGCTGCAGTACGCACATATGTCACTTGCACTCTCACACACACAATGCTCACTCTTACTGTGACAGGGAAACGCTGACATTTTTCTATTCTCTTTCATTAAAACTAAATGCTGGTCAGGACCCATTAAGTTCATTTCACGTACGCCACATCTCAGTTTGAAAAACACTGCCTTCAGAGACAAAAAGCTCATACTTAGATAGCACTTAGGAGCCTGGAGTTGTGGGAAACACCCATCTAGGAACTCAAAGATGTGGCAGACTGGTGAAGGCTGCCGGCGCTCTCCTATGGGTCACCTCCACGGCCACGCCCCCGCCCCCACCCCACCCGAGGCCGTCAGGGGCCCAGGACCAGCCTGGGAAGCACACTCACCTGTGGCTGGAGACTGCCGGACGCAGCTGGCTGCGCAGCCGCTAGAGAGCAAGCTTCATCTCCAGTTGGGGGTGCCCCTACTGCTGGCCCTCCAGAGGGACCTCCCTCTTCTCGTTTGGGCAGGGGACCCTTTTTCGTCGATTGCATTTTAATCTGCTGGGGCTTGGAGTTCATTGGGGAATTGTTGGTGGTCTGGAGGAGCTGCAGGAGCCAAGGGGGTGGGGGATGAGACAGAGCTGCAGGCAGTGACCTGGGCTCAGCTGCCCCCGCCCCGCCCCTCAGGTCTCAGGGACCTCTCACTCCGTGGCCTGGCTGGGCCTGGGCGAGGTGGGTGGCAGGAAGGCGATGACAGGGCAGTGGGGTGGAGAGATGTCCTCTCCACTCAGCGTGCCAGGGCCGATGTCTCACCTGCCTCAGCCCAGCCCAGCCCAGAAGGGTTCCAGCCTGTTCCCTGCCCCAGCTGCTCTTCCCACAGACAATCTGTGAACCTCAGCCATCTCCTACTCAGCCCAGCTCCCAGGATGGGGTCCAGCCTGCCCAGAGCATCAACTCTATCTCTTGCTGCCCCTGTAACAAGAGCCTGGGGTAAATTTTAATTTGGGGCCTCCCAGAGAGATCAAGTGAGTGTCTCAGGAGCTGGAAACATTTGGATTGTGGCCACCAAAAATCTTAAGAGCCACCACCCAGGAAGGACTGACTCAGAGCCTTCCCTTATGGCCCAAGTTCAATCTCAAACAAAGCAGCGAATAGGCCCAGCTGCACCCCCAAGGGCATTACAGCATGTGCGGGCAGCTTCTGTCAAACCCTCAGCCAGTCCGAAGCAAGGGGGCCTCTGAGGATGATCCTCCCCACTCCTCAACACACTCTGCAGTCTTAGTGACGTGGATGGGCCTAAGGAAGGCCATTCTGGAGGAAAAGCAAGGCTGAGGCTGATCCCAAGATCTCAGACAGGATGTATGGAGCAGGGGTCAAACCACTCTATCAAGTGCCGCTACTCAAGGCCATGGATGAAGTCTGCAGAGGGCATAAGGTGGGCTCCAGGACACAAAGAGCTCAAGCCCATGCCCCTCTGCTATCCAGCACTCACTCCAACTGGGCCCACTGCTCTAAGGGCACGGCCCCAGCCAGACCATCGGAGCCTGTGCCCAGCATCTCAGAGGCCAACACTGGCTAGGCCCAGACACTCTCCCACCACGGACTGCCATACCTCAACTCCACCTTCTCTCCTCCATGGTCACTACCAAAGCTCAGAAAGACAGGAGGCCCAGGGAAACCTCTGAGGAGAGCAGAGAAGATGGCACTAAGGCTATACCTCGGCACTGTTCCAGTTCTCCCAAGATAGGGACTGGTGCCTCTGCCCCTGGCAGTAAGATTTCACAGGGCTTCTTGAGAAGAGCGTGCTGTGCTCACAGTCTAGAACTGGAGCAGCCCTGGTACTTCCTGTAGGCAGGCAAGGTGGTCTGCCCGGCCGTACCTTAGTGATGGTGCCTACAGCCTTGGTGCGGCCTTCCCGGAACACCAGCCGCTGGTCTATGTGCAGGTACTCGGGGGTCTTGATAAAGCGGAAATGCACGGTGGCCTTGTCCCCGGTGCGCAGACAGTCCTTGTCCATGCTCAGGATGGTGGCTGTCTGCCTGATGCTCCCACAGTGCACTGCCAAGGGAGCCAGGAAGTCAGGAGAGGCCTGAGCCACTCAGTGGCCTCAGGGCAGGGGAGGCAGTGGGTGAAAGCATGAAACAAGCTCGAGCTGTGGCAGGCTGAAGACCTCAGAGGGCAGAGTGAGGCTAAGCGACTGGAGGCCCGTTCTTGGATTGATCCTGCCTCACATTCTCCCACTTTTCCCTCCAGTTAGACCTCGCTTGTCCCCGGACTCACTGGTCCCTAGTTCCTGAACACAGGGCACTCTGTTTGCATGCGTGCCTTCTCTGGACTGTGGGCTTCTTGATGGCAGGGCCCTTGCCCATCTTGTCTTTGTCCCCAGCACCTTGGCAACACCGCCTGGCACACTGCAGCACTTGGTAGATGTCTGCTGAAGGACTGAGTGTGAGGTCCTTGAGGGCAGGTCTGGGTTTCCAGAGCCCAGCACCGAGCCGGTACTTGGTTAGTGTTTGCAAGAATGAACAAACCACAAGCCACAGCTCGTGGGTGGAACAGAGGGGATGGCATCACTGAACAGGGCAGCGACCTGACTCCTGGCTGCAGCTGAAACTTTGGGGTTTGGGTTGCTGGAGCACACTGTAGGGGGAGCTAGAGCAGGGGGCTTCAGGCTGGCAGTGCCTTTAGACACCTACCCATGGCCTGGTACCGCGGGCTGATTGTGGTGGGGTGGTGAAGGACAAGGATCTCGGCCTCGAACTCCCAGGATGCTTGGGGATTCAAGCGTGGAGAAACCATCACCATGCCCTTCCGGATGGACGAGCGCTTGATCTGAATGAGAGAGAATCCCAGACCTCAGGGACAATAATGCCTTCTGGCTTCACCCCCTGGTCACAGAGGACCAGGACTCCTTCTGGGAACTGCTACCACCCCAATTTTGCCGTGACCTCTCACTGCACTGGACCACAGGCCTTCTTTAGTGCTACATGGGAAGCCTCAACACTGCTATTGGGGGGTCAGGAAAGACTTCATACAGAAAGTGGCATTTTAGCCAGGACTTGCAAGACGGGTCGGAATTAAGTGGGTGGCGAGAGGGCAAAGGCAGGCAAGCACTCAAGTAGGAGAAATAGGGCGAGCATGATCTGGCTGTTGGGAAGTGCACAGAAGACCCGGCTTTGCTGGTTAATCTGGCTGGTGCAAATGACCCAGGAGCTAGCACTGACCCCAATCCTCAGGGGACTGAAAGCTGAATGGCAAGAGGATCTGGCATGGACTCAACAGCCCCGTGTAGAAGGACCTCAGCAAGAAGGAAGCGCAGGAAGGCTCCCAGCTGACCTCACCGAGCTCAGGAGGCCGGCAGGCCTCGGTTTAAGTCCCGGTATTCTCCCCGAATGCTGGGCAAGTCACTCAGGCTCTTCTGAGCCTCAGTTTCCTCACCTGTAAAAGTGAGGTCAGTAATCCCTGCCTTGCAGAGCGGCTGTGAGGACTGGAGATGACCCGGGGCCTAGCATGACACGGAGCCCGAGGGGAGCTCTTGGTTTTATCAACACTCACCTTCTTCAGTGCGAAGGAGGCCGTCTGGCCCCCCCGCACCTCCTTGACAGGCATGCGCTTGCGATGGATCGATTTGACAGCAATGGACAGGAAGTTACCCAAAGGATCTGGGCCCAGCAGCAGCGTGTCATTCAGCTTGATCAGGCCCCTCAGTGTTGTCCCTGACACCACTGTTCCCACACCCTGCAGACAAGACCCCGGTCCAGTAAGTCCACTGGCACTACAGACTCGCCCTGGCACCCCTGTAGGAAGCGCCACTCAGCCTCCCGCCTTATTCAGTCCACCAGAACCCACTCACCGGGACAGAGTAGGTGTCGTCAATCTGAAACTCAGCAGGCTCTTCCTCCCGGTAACTGGTGCGAGGGGACAGCAGGTTGAGGAACATCTTCAGCAGATCTAGGTTCTCGCCTGTAACGTTGGAGATTTGGAATATCGGGCACATCCTAAGGTGGGGAGTGTGTGGAGAGAGAGGAAGAAAGGTGCTCAGGTGGCGAACTCCTGCCTGATAGGGGATGAGCAGCACAAGGGCTCCTGGAATGGCTGCTGCTGCTAAGGGTCCCACCAGCCCTTCACTGGCCTCCCAGGCCCTCTGCCCAGCCCACCTACTTCTGTCCAGATGTGCTCTGAGGCCTCCTCTCCTATTTAGTTTTGTCTCTGAAACCTGTCCCCTCCTCTCTGTCTCGGTACCGCTACCCTATTCCGAGCGATCATGACTGCCTCTTCTTCCTAAAGCACACACATCCCTAAACCCTTAACCAACTCTCCACTGCAGAAAAGACAGCCGGGATCCCTCCTCCCAACATCTCTGCCAGTTTATTTCTCTCAAATTCCTATATTCCAGCCAGGCCAGAGAACACTCCCTCCCTTCTCCTAAGACCTTGGTACTTTTTTGTTCCCATGTACTTGTTCACTCTGAATTGTTCACCCCCTGCCTGAATTGCTTCCCTCTTATGCAACTACCAAATCCTCTCATCCTTCAGAGCCCATTTCCAGCACCGCCTCTTCCAGGGAATCCTTCCCAGATGGGCACTCTTCATTCCCTCTGAGTTTTCAAAGAACTTTTTTTTTTTTTTGTAAATTTTATTGAAGTCTAGTTATTTACAACGTTGTGTTAATTTCTGCTATACAGCAAAGTGACTCAGTTATACACATATATATGTTCTTTTTCATATTCTTTTCCATTATGGTTTGTCACAGGATATATATATATATTTTTAAATTTATTTATCTTTGGCTGCATTGGGTCTTCGTTGCTGTGCGTGGCTTTTCTCTAGTTGTGGACAGCGGGGGCTACTCTTCGTTGCGGTGCGTGGGCTTCTCATTGCGGTGGCTTCTCATTGCGGAGCATGCTCTAGAGCGCAGGCTCAGTAGTTGTGGTACATGGGCTCAGGAGTTCTCGCTCAGGAGCTCTAGAGCACAGGCTCAGTAGTTGTGGCACACGGGCTTAGTTGCTCCGTGGCATGTGGGATCTTCCCGGAGCAGGGCTCGAACCCGTGTCCCCTGCATTGGCAGGTGGATTCTTTTTTTTTTTTTTTAATAAATTTATTTATTTATTTTTGGCTGTGTTGGGTCTTCGTTTCTTTGCGAGGGCTTTCTCCAGTTGCGGCGAGCGGGGGCCACTCTTCATCGCGGTGCGCGGGCCTCTCACTGTTGTGGCCTCTCCCGTTGCGGAGCACAAGCTCCGGACGCGCAGGCCCAGCGGCCACGGCTCACGGGCCCAGCCGCTCCACGGCATGTGGGATCCTCCCGGACCGGGGCACGAACCCATGCCCCCGGCATCGGCAGGCGGACTCTCAACCACTGGGCCACCAGGGAAGCCCCCTACTTTTAGTTTTTTGAGGAACTGTTTTCCATAGTGGCTGCACCAATTTACGTTCCCACAAACAGTGTAAGAGGGTTCCTTTTTCTGCACACCCTCTCCAGCATTTATTCGTAGACTTTTTAATGATGGCCATTCTGACTGGTGTGAGGTGGTACCTCATTGTACTTTTGATTTGCATTTCTCTAATAACTAACGATGTTGAGCAACACTGCATGTGGCTATTGGCTATCTGTATGTCTTGGGAGAACTTTCTGTATCTCTGTTATACCTGACTACATCTGATTTTCTGTCTGTTATCTGAATGGCCTCTATATCTCCTATTCACGATTAGTCAAACTCCTCAAGATCAGAAATTATATATTTCCCACAGCTCCTAGAGTAGGGACAGCACAGAATAGGCACTCAACAAAATGAATGAATTGAAATGGGGTCGACTGAAACGTACCCCCTCTGCTGGCCAACTGCTGGTACTGAAGACAGCGTCAGGGCAGAGACACAGGCCCAAATGTCAGGCTGCTCCGGGTCCTGTACTTAAGCAGCCCCAAGACTCTGGGAGAAGGAGCAGTGTTAACAAAATTTACTATTATCAAGAGATTATCTCTGACCAAGGAGCTGACCACCTTGAGGACAAGGACTATGCCCAAGCCAACTCTGACTCCTCGATGCCTAGATGAAAAGCCCAGCACAGAACAAACACCCAATAAATATTTATGGAATCAGGGAATTTCCTGGCAGTCCAGTGGTTAGGACTCGGCGCTTTCACTGCTGAGGACCCAGGTTCGATCCCTGGTCAGGGAACTAGCATCCTACAAGCCGTGCGGCACGGCCAAAAAAAAAAATTTATGGAATCAAAGGACATGCAAATGAGTAAATGCCAAAACTGATCTGTGATTAGACAGCTTTTGAGTAACAACTGTGTAAAAAAATTAATAATAATCATTCTAAAAATGGCTGTGTATCCATCACACAGCAGCCAGGCACGGTGCTAAGTGCTTTACATACATCATTTCCAACACTTACAAGAGCCCTATGAAGAAGGTAATATTATTCCCATTTCATAGATAAGGACACTGAAATATCAGCTGGGATTCCAACCTCAGTGAGACCAGCACCTCAGAATCTGGGTCACCTGATACAGCCCCCGAGCAACATTGCTGAGAGCACAATCTTCTATTTCAACCAATCTCTGCGCCTGTACAGAAGTGAATGCTCCCAGGACTTCCCTGGTGGTCCAGTGGCTAAGACTTCATGCACCCAATGCAGGGGGCCCGGGTTCGATCCCTGGTCAGGGAACTAGATCCCACGTGCTGCAACTGAGAGTTTGCATGCCACCACTAAAAGATCCCGCATGCCACAATGAAGATCCCACGTGCCACAACTAAGACCCGGCACAGCCAAACAAATAAATAAATATTTAAAAATACATAAATAAATAAAAGGAAGAAGTGAATGCTCCCTACCCATTACCTCTCAGAGCTGAAGTTGGAGGCTGTAACAATCACATCATCCTTGCTCTGCACCAACACAGGGATCTTGCGGCAGCCAGGCGACTTCAGCAGGCGCTGTAACAGCTTCAGGGTTTCTTAAAGGGTAAAATGGAACAAAATTAGGGGAACATAGCCTTCTCTTTGGCCAGGCTTCTAGGGCAAGACAGGTCCACTCATTACTGATGCAAGCAGGAGACAAACAGAGGGACAGTGTTAAATGCCATAATGCCTGGAGAAGCAAAAGGAGGATCAAAACTTTGGGTGGGTAAGTGCTTGCTAGAGTAGAAGGAGAGTACAGATGGGGACTGTCTGCTAAGGTTATAAGTCTGAAACCTGTCCGGTTTCTCCAGAGTCTCTAGAAGACCCGCATCCTATAAGCAAGTGATTTGGGGTCCACCAGAAGGACAATGTTGTTCCTAGAATGCCCTGCTTCCTGGAAAAAAAGTTCATCTGACAAAAGGATCTCTAGGACATTTAGACACCTGTAGAAGCCCTTATGAGGCCCTCCGAAAGGATACGTCTTCACTTCTCTTCTACCATCTTTAGCAACGGGGGAGAAATGCATGAAAGCCTAGTCTTCCAACACTGTTTTGAAACCTTTGGTGGTAAAAGGTAATCAGACTCTCTGCCCAAATGTCTCCATGTATGTCCAGCTTAGATGGTAAAACCCAACCCCTTCTGCCTGGAACCGTCTGAAAAGAGTTGCCAGATTAGGGATTTCAAGGACCTTGAATTTGTAACCAGAAGGAACAATGAGCAGGAGATAACTCTAAGCTCTGCTCAGACCAAGAGGCAAACAGGGAGAAAGCAAAAGATTCTGGGTTGATGGACATTCAGGCCAAGGTCTAAGCACAATACAAGGAAACAGAAAATTCCGGGTAGCAGATCACCAAGGAGCCACAGTGTGTGACTGCCCCAGACAGAGAGACTGCTACTGGCTGTTGGCTTCACTTACCTTGCAGGATGTTGGCAGGACACATGTCAATCTTGGTGACCACAACAAAGACAGGCACATTGAGTGCCAATGCCAAGCCCAGGTGCTCCTTCGTCATCCCCACGATGCCAGCATTGCTGCCCACCTGCCCCGACACAGAAAGAACTGTCAGGACAAGGGAGACAGAGATTGCTGCTGGGTGGGTACAGGGGCTCAAAGAAGGCGGAGGTAAGAGAGAACTCCCATCTCTGAGGCCACCATCAGAACAGGACACAGGGGGCACAAGTCTTAGGCCAGAAACAAAATGGCTGTAGATGAAAGCTGGGCTGGGCACAGATTGCTTTAACCTCCAATTTAACAGTGTGGACTATCAGAATCTGAGGAGACTTCGAAACAATAAAAAAGACAAACTCAGGGGCTTCCCTGGTAGCGCGGTGGTTGAGAGTCCGCCTGCCGATGCAGGGGACACGGGATCGTGCCCGGTCTGGGAGGATCCCACATGCCGCAGAGCGGCTGGGCCCGTGAGCCATGGCCGCTGAGCCTGCGCGTCCGGAGCCTGTGCTCCTCAACGGGAGAGGCCACAGCGGTGAGAGGCCCGCATACCAC